CAAAGCTTAAAGCAGTAAAGCTTTCAGCCTAACTTCCAAACATTCCTCTAGTTGGAGCTATTTCTGTTCACGTGTACGGAGGACGGCAACTAGGAAACATGGAAGGGCTTGGTTCCTGCAAGAGTTTGGAAATAGATCAAATACACGGGGGTTTAAAATTCATTGAGTCATTTAGGAAGTCTGGGGCTACGCCGCTCTTCTTTAGCTAGCTTTTAGGCTTTTCTTCCCCAAAACGCTGCAAGAAAATAGAGTGAAAAACGCAAACACAAACCTTTCCACCAAGTGACTCTAGAATTTGTCAGTGGCACCAAACGACACTTCCTGAGGAAAATTCTGGAAATTACCCATGTTGCACTTTTCATGAATCCACGTTGAACCTGAAGCCAGAAACAAGCTCCCCTCTTCCCGTCTCCACATTTCTCTTACCAACTGGACTGTGTTGAAGTTTATATGACAGGCCATTTCAACACTTTTGTTTAGTTAAATGGAAGTGCATCACTTTTCAAGAAAAGCCCTATTGCCAAAAAATATAAACAACCCTAACTTTGATTAATATAAATATTTTAAAACCAGAACATTCTGTTACATCTTGCAAAAACAATTCTGATGTAGCGGATGGGAAAGAAAAAGCACTTTCCTGCCTTCGCCGGATCCGACCAAAGACAGCTGCAGAACCGAATTTTAAGTAAATATGAATTGTTTGTCTTTTCGGAGGGCTGCGGTATTTACCCCAGCGGAGTTATTTTACAGAGCTTTGTTTCATGAGTACAAATGAAAGTTTTAAAAATAGTCTTATGCCTGTAGTATCCAATTTAAATTTCAAAGTCCTCTAATTAAAAAACACCATTAAAATGATTCCCCCTGCCCAGTTTAGGGTTATTTGCTAATAAGGCCACGGGACAAGAGACGTGTGAAATGCATAGATGGAAGAAAAACGTTGACAGCAGAGGGAGGTCTGGGGGACAAGGTTGGTTTATTAGGCCCTGTTTGTCACGAATGGCCCTGCCGTACATATAAAAGCAAATCTCCCTACCTTAGAAGATTAATTCTGAAAGAGGCACTCTCAGGTCAAAATATACATAAGCGTGTGCCTAATCTCAGAGAAATCAGGCTATTTTCTCACAGCAATTAAGCAGAGGTCTGGGGTTTCACCCACAGCGTATTTAAACACAGGATACAATTAAACCCCAAAGTATTAATATCTTTGCTCTGCAAAATTGCCCAGGAAATAGATTTTGCCCTCTTTCAAATGAAAAGCAAGTCAAATTAAGAAAATAACTTGATTCTTAGCTAAGTTGCCTGAAATAAGATTGCCATATTTTCTCCTAATTGCAAATGTCTCACAGACATAAAGATGGTTCTTACTTTACAATACGACAAGGGTTATACGCTGTCTAGTTGCTTTAATCTAAACAGCAAATCTTAGAAGTGGGCCTGAAAATGGACTGTTTTCAAACTGTAATTAAATTTCTGACTCAGCATATGTTAAAAATCAACTCATAAAAGTCTGAGAACTCACTATTTACCAGCAGCAAGCTATGGCAAGGAGGGGAGATTTACAACAAGGGTAAAAAGGTAAATTCTGAGCAATCAAGGGCTCCGAAGGGATCTTGCCCCTCCAAAGGTTTTTCTTGAAGTTATTTTATTTGTATACGCATCTCAATCAAAAAGCTAATCTTGTAGAGAAAATTATCATCAGTTTAAAACTCTGTTTCACCAAGAAAAAAAAAAATAAAAGGCTAAACATGAAAACAAATGAATGACTTTTATTTACTGTTTTGGTTCCCTGAAGGCAAATTTTTTTCATAGTACAAAAGTTACATTAAATAAACTACCACCTTTGCTCAGATCTTGAAAAAGTAACCCGTCTGCTGCTAAACATTTTTGCCATATTACGATTCTTGTTACTTCTCTTTCATCTACATACCAGATTAACATTCCATTTTATTGCCAAAACCAAATTCTCTCTGGCTTTCTTGGACAATAGTAGGGGAGGGAAGTTAGTTTTGGAATAGGAAAAGGTATAAATCAATAGTTTTTCATTTACATAGCTGAATCAATAGTTTTTTTTTTTCTCCTACATAGGAGTTTTCAGCAAGACAGTTTTTGGTGTACAATACAACAGAATATTCAGTGAGAAATCCTATAACCCCTGACACATGGGAATGTTCTTATAAATTAATAAAACGGAAAGAATGAAGCAAAATAAAATGAATCAGACATGGGGAGGGAGGGAGAAAGTGTGTGTGTGTGTGTGTGTGTGTGCGCACACACACGTGCCAATGTGTTTTCCCACCCAACACTGCACTATTGCTTTTAAGAGGAGCTGAGGACTTGAGGTAAAGTGCACAAGGCACCGTGTCTTGGAAACGACACCATAAAAGGTGTAGGCACTTTTTGATGTGTGGTGGCATGTGTGAGAAAGCACGCCATCTGAATTTCACCCAGGATTGTTTTAATGGGACCGTTGCTTTAATAGTACTTCTTGCTGACATCACAGGCAAATTGGTCTATTCTGTAACCTTTAAAAGTGCCGCATATCCCAAAATGAGTTACTTATTAAACAAACGTTCCTTTTTTGAGTGCAACTGACCTTTAAATGATTATTTCTCAGCACTCGCAACAAAGAATCTCACCTCTCACCTGTGTGCTCTGGACGCGCTGTGGTGACTGCATCCCTAACCGACTGCATCCCTAACCTTTTCATAACACCCTCGGGATGGGGACTCGCAACACGGAATTACAATCGCTAATGAGCATTTTTTCTTTTCAGGGGAAGTCTTACTACTCTATTAAATTATTCAACACACAAAGGCCGTGCAAAGGTGTACAAATGAATTGCTGTTTTGATCGATCTGCAATAATTCTAGAAAATATGTCAAAGCACCAAATAGTAATTTACTGCTAATGATAGTTTCTATGGAATTTTTTTCTTTTTAACTTCTGGGGCATGTGTGTGTGTAGGCATGGATGTAGGTAAGGGGGGGATTCAGACGCTGTATTTTATTAGAAAAACATTGTCTTTAGGCTCAGCACCTAGGTAATATTTTTGGGCAATTTGAGCTCAACTTACATGCAACCAGCATGGTATTCCTTTCCATTAACTGGAAGAAAAAACTTTTCAAACTCCAGAAGTAGTGACGAAACACACATCTTATAACATTAGAGATTTTACAGTTTGTTTTCCTCAGAAACAGACACCCTGGTAAAGATGAAATGAACTTAATCAAGTCGTGGTTATCCTTAATGAAGTGGAAATGGGAATTATAAACTTGATTGGTCAGGAATCAAATCGAATCTAGCACATAGCGAGAAGAACTAATGCATCCCGGGACCTCCTCGCATTAGTGAAGATGTCCATGTCACCACAAGTCCCAGTGCCCTTTTGTTGAGTAGATAACCGAGTTTACACGTTAGTAAGGCTGCGGAATCTGATAAGGAGTTCATTAGTCTCAATCTTTTCCCCCTTAAAGAAAAGCCATATACTAATCTTTAAAAACTCCAAGAAAAAGTTGATTTGCAGGAATCAAACGCTGTAATAAACTAGTCACCTGTACTTTATATACATCCTACTATAACATGAATTCACAAATACCTGTTTATATTCAAGAATAAGCTTTTGTTTTCTTGCAAAGCTGCCTTCTTTATAAAACACTGTTTTAGAAAGGTGTTGGTCTCATAAAAATGTTAAGTATCCACCCTGTACAGAATGAAAAGGCATGTGCCGGTGTGTGTTCTCTCTCTTTTCTCACGGCTCTTTCAAAGTGAACATATCGGAATAAGTCACAGAGAAATCTGAGGACTTCTCCCTCAATGAGGAAAAACAACTGTTTGGAAATGATTCACTTACGGTTTTCTTTTCGGCTCTGACTCGGTAATATTTTGTAAAGCATGAGGTGCAGCCACAAGCCTTCATCAGAGAAATCAAAATTAATGTCCTTTGGAAACATTGGGCTCTAAAAGGAAAAAAAAAATAACAACAACAACAGAGTGTGACTTCCGTGGCTCCCTTTTGCTTAATTTACAGAAAGGCAGATCCGTTATTTTATTGGCATGTAATCAGGAAGAAAAATACACAGGCTTAAGACTAAACGGAGTGATTGTCAAGGCTGCCAGGATCTCATTCATTAATTATGGTGTCTGCTGACCGGCCACGGAGGGAAACCAACAATGCCGGAGAACATAATCATCAGGGGCTTGTATGTCTGTAAACTATTTAAATTCTTGACGTTGAATATTTAGAGTGAGCGATGCTCGTGTAACATGCACCATATTTCAGCAGGCGCTCAGCACTGGCTGCCTCCAGAACCCCCCGAGGCTCCTGACCTTTTGGCAGGCCCACGTTGCACGTGGCTTTATGAAGGTCTCTCTCCCTCCCCACCGTGTCTGTTAGACACCCAGACACCCAGCATCGCTGGCCGTTTCTCAAGTGCCCTCCCATTTTGCAATACCCCTGCCCTCTCTTAGCAGCAGTTCGACTTCCATAGACTGTCCATCCCTTCCCAGGCAGGCAGCTGGGAGAAACAGTGGTGTTGATTTCCACTTCTCCGTACCATGGACGGCAGCCGGGGCTCACCTTCCCCAGGTTACTGAACCTCCCTTGCCTGTGAGCACAGACGGTGTTTTGGTCACAGATGTGACTGGTTAACTGTACAAGCAAGAAAGGTAAATTCACATAACAATACTTCATTCACCAAGAAAATCTGCACTGGATTACGGCTTCTCTATGGTGGAGTCTGGTCTTAATTTACTGCTTTTATTCAGTTTTCAACCACAAACGAGCCCCTTCTGAGGCATTCACTACGCAGAATTGACAACTCTTTTTATCTACTTGAAAAATATTTTTGGATAATAATTTATGGTTACAAAATATTTTAAGCAGTTTGAATAGTTATATTCTTTCAATGCTTAAAGATTCAGTATCCCTTGTAAAAATGGAATGCCAGGCAATCTGGTAATTTTATGTACAGTATTTATAAAAACAGAGCAATTTGGCCATATAGAAACACACATTTTTGAAAAAAAAAAGTCTGCATATTTCATAGGAAGTCTTTTTTAAAGACTTTTTTTAAGCTCTTAAATTACATCTCAGGAGAAAATCAGAGTTGAGAACAGTATCTAAAGGCCTTGTATATGGCTGAAAAAATAATTTTGGCAAGTACTGTATTTTATTTATGTGTTATTATGTTTAAAATAACATATTTTGAACACCCTTCAGAAGGAAAAAAAAAAAAGCTCCAGATCTCTCTGAGGACACAAGGGAGACTTCACATGCTGTTTATATTTTATACATGAAACCAAAATGTGTGGGTAGGTTTGTATGTTTTCACCATCAAACATATTCTCTTAATTTATATTCTGAATTAATGCTGTCTTAAAAAGTTTTTTTTTTTTTATTGTTGGGAATTCACTGAGAGTACAAGAAACCAGGTCACACTGATTGCATTTGTTAGGTAAAGTCTTGCCCTCAAAAGGTGTGTCACCCACGGAGACCCCCCACCTTCCTCCCTCCTTCTTTCTCTCTCTGCTCTCCCCTTCCCCCCCCCACCATATACTATGTCATTAATTGTCCTCATATCAAAATCAAGTACATAGGATTCATGCTTCTCCATTCTTGTGATGCTGTACTAAGAATAATGTGTTTCAATCCATCCAGGTTAATACAAAGGATGTAAAGTCTCCATCTTTTTAATGGCTGAAGAGTATTCCATGGTGTACATATACCATAGCTTGTTAATCCATTCCTGGGCTGGTGGGCATTTAGGCTGTTTCCACATTTTGGTGATTGTAAATTGAGTTGTAATAAACTGTCTAGCGCAACTGAAAAGCTTCTGTACAGCTGAGGAGACAACAACCAAAGCAAATAGACAACCTACATAGTGGAAAAGGATATTTGTGTATTTTGAATCACACAGAAGCTTGATGATGTTGTCTTTTTACAAATCCATTCGAAGGTGCTTATTATTACAAGGCATGGAATAGTTTTCAAGGACTGATTGCCAACATGTGGAAATCCTGAGTAGGCTGAGAAACATCCCACATGTATAGACTGGGTCATTTGAGAGGCACATCTGGTAGTATTGCCAACCAGTGGCCCAGTAACTGGAAATGGAACCCATGTAAATAACATGGAATGTCTTTTAGAAACGGAGAAAATGGAACCAGGAACACAAAGCTTTGTGACTTTCCTGTTGGCAGACTTCAAGCATTTTCAACTCATTGATGCCAAGGCTTCTTCTCATTGCAAAATGAACTCCCCGTAGATAAACAAAAGAAAACCTTCAACTGAGCAGTTACCTGTGTTTTCCTCACTAGAGGCTACACTGTCGTGAGCAGAGAACAAGTGTTTGGGGAATATCATCTTTGGCATTAACGAGAAAAAAGGGACATTGCTTTTACAAAAAAGAACACTTTATGATTTTCTGAAACATCTCTCTAAGTGCCACAGGTAAGTCATATTTTCTAAAAACCAAATTGTGCTTATGCTTTGGCAGGGGTGGGGGGATGGTTTGAACTATATAAACACGCAATAGAAAAATAACGAGCTGTATCACTTTGGTTAGTTAAGCAATTATTGCTTTTTTATAGACTCAAATGCTGTTTGGTTTCATCATAAAAACAGGTGGGGTTTGGTGCTTTGTTGTTGGTTTGAAATTTTGCTCAAAAGAATTTTTTATTTTATCATTTCTGTGTTTTAGAATTTGGCAGGTTCTGCCTGGAGTCTGGTACCTGCGTTCTTTATCTCAACAGGTGTTCTAAGGAAGGTATAAAGGGAAAGTTTAGAAAGGAGATCAATTAGGCCACAGAAGCCTCAAATAATTCCTAAATTATTAAAATGGTTTCCCTCACAAAATTACAACGGCTTTCTGCTGTTTACTTCAAACAGATTAAAATTTAGATGAGAACAAGAACCACTTCAGTAACAGAGTGTGGAAGTTTGGAATTATGACAACAGTAATGAACTAGCCTCATCTGTCCAGGCAAAAAATAGCTTCTAATCACTAGTCATGGGTCAACAAGTACAAGACTCCCTGGGAATATTTGGCCCATTCTCTGTGACCCCCTTAGTATGCAGACCCCCAGTGTTCTGGTACCATCTACATCACACCCGGCGTTCCTGGATACCAGCCTGATTTCTCCCTCCTTTTCCTGCCAAACATCATATGTGAAGTAAGAGAGGGAGGGTCCTTTAACAATGAATTTCCCTATTGTGTAACCATTACAAAGCTATCCAGGCTAAATAACTTGTTGTTCTCTAAGTCACTGCAATTTCAAGGTTTTAATGGTCCTTAACATATAATACCCTGTGTCATTTATTTCCTGAAGTGAAAGCTAGAGGCAGCCTTAGGAATTCATGTAAAGCAAGTGCTTCAATATGGTTTGAAGAGAGAATGAAAACTTGGTAAGCAATTAATCTACCTTGAATGCTTTCCTGATGGTTGTACTTTTTCTTACTTGGCTTGTTGGGTTTAATGCAAAAATAAATAAAGATAATAATAAAGAGTTTTTTTTTTAAAAAAATCCAGAATTATTCAAAAGAAAATCAAATAGAACATACATCCCAATTTTTCTATAGCACGTTTGTTAGAGTGAAACCTACACAGAGTGAGGTAGGAAAGTGTGAAGATTTAAATCATTTAAAGATAAAAGTGTTTCTGGTTGAAGAGCAGCGACTTTTTTTTTTTTTCCTGGTGCCTTGAAGCTATGGGAGAGGGAAATATTTGAAATAGGAAAGTGGATAAATAAGTGTAGGGAAGGGGCTGATTTCCTATCAGGATAACCCTGCAAGTCACAGTTGGTTTGGGAAAAGACTTTGGCCTTGTCTGACTGCTAATTTGCAGAGGCTGAGGCTTAGGAGAAAGATAAGCCAGGGGCATCACTGAGACGCCAAGGCTCAGAGCTGAGCCTGGCAGGTGTGGGCAGGTCAGTGTATCACCAACAAGCCAAGTGAGTCCATAGAGAGACCTACCAGTAACGTCTGAGAGACATGGTACTGGCAAAGGAGACCTTTGTTGGAGGACCAAGTGTAACACAGATTTAAGACCCAAGAGTAGAAGGACCCAAGGAGTTCGAGAGTAGAAGGCAATGAAAGATGGGACTGTATCTCAGTGGTTCACGTGGCCAGGAGAACTGGGGTTCAGCACAAATTCACGCAGGGTATCCAAAGCTAACTGCTACAGGTGAAAGGATCATGACTTTACAATTCATGCCTCTCCTTTGGCAGTGGGGTGCGGAGCATAAATGGCAAATCCCGACAGAGAAATACAAGTTTGAAGAGTTACTGGAATAGAATCCACAGGGAACATAACAGAGCCAGAGAGCTTGGTCTTCTGTGAATGCGGGAAGAATTTTCAGGAGCCTCTGTAAGCTTGGATACCTTAGGCATCTCCCTGGTAGGAAACTGGTAACCAGCCCTGAAAGGACAAACACAGGCTCCAACAAGACCATGTCAGTATCCGAGAGGGGACCTGAGACTGAGATCGTGAGGAAGGACTGAAGATTAAAGAAAACTTAGAAGTTTGATAATTGGGTGGCTCTTGTGGCTCAGTGGGTGGGGCTCTGGCCCCATATATTGAGGGTAGCGGGTTCGAGCCCGGCTCTGGGCCAAACTGCAACAAAAAAATAGCTGGGTGTTGTGGTGGGCACCTGTAGTCCCAGCTACTCAGGAGGCTGAGGCAAGAGAATCACTTAAGCCCAAGAGTTTGAGGTTGCTGTGAGCTGTGATGCCACAGCACTCTACCCAGGGCAATAAAGTGAGACTCTGTCTCTTAAAAAGAAAAAAATAGAAGTTTAATAATTGCATATGCATATATATATATGTATATATATATACCTAAATTGATTGCTTGGCATACAAATACAGCCTTCACCCATGTTTTTGAATTAATCAAAAAGAACACTGGTTGCCAAAGTCCAAAACTGGAGAACACTTCCTCAGATGCCGTGTGGAGACCCC